CATTCTTATTCTTGTATTTTTGGCGCTTGTACTCTCTTGAAGAAGTTAGGATAGTGAGGTGACAGATTGTTAATTCTAAGATTTCTATTCTATTGTTGTGGGAAATAGCGATGTCTGGCCTTAATGAACTGATAAGATGAGACATTGGACGAACGTTCTCCAATTGCAAGTCAGCAAACATGCAACTTTGGAGTGCATACTTCAGCCAGTTGATTATCAGCGTTAGCAGCTTGTCGTGCCTGTCGGTGTGTCTTGCAGAAGCTGCTGAAGAGCCACAATTTGCTACGACATGTTTGTTCGTTTGACGGACCTGGGCACAAGAGAGGAATTGTCTTCTTTCATTTGGACATATTTGCGTTTGTACGGGTTGTTGAACCTTCTCGTGAATTGTTAAAATACCCCGGACAAGTTTTCGACGATTTTGGACTAAAGTGATATGTGGGATGAGTTAACAATCTCGTCTATTGCTTTAATTATCAAAATTATTAAATCATTAAATCATTTCGCTGTTTAAGTGTTCACCTGATTGAAGCAATCTTCCACTCTTATTTCTTCTAAAAATTGAAGAGACAGTTTTAATGAACCAGAATCGGCCAGCGTCTTGCCAGTTTGATTAAAGTTTTCTGTCGTTTCAACGTTCTTGCTTGTTCTAAGGTTGTTAATAATTATTAGTTTAGTTTTTTATTCCATATTCTACCATAGAATTTAGTTACCATAAAATTGATTGGCATAGCATAACTCTATCTACAATGAGATCGTCCAGATTGGTCGATATCCGCGAAAAGTTGTAACAGCTGAATTCGAATTGTGGGTACCTGCGTTGGTATAAATCGTCGCAGAATTTGTAATTTCCGTTTCGACGTGATATCTAGATCTGTTGTGATCCATTGTAATCTCTTTCAACTTTTTTAATTTTAAGACAATTCTATTTTTGGTTTTCACGTCTTTGAATTCTTAATTGTATAATCTTCCCAGATAAACAAATTTTGAGACAATTCTATTTTTGGTTTTTACGTCTTTGAATTCGTAACCATATCTTCCCAGATAGACAAATTTTGAGACAATTCTATTTTTGGTTTTACGTCTTTGAATTCTTAACCGTATAATCTTCCCAGATAAACAAATTATGGGACAGTTCTATTTTTGGTTTTTACGTCTTTGAATTCTTAACCGTTTAATCTTCCCAGATAAACAAGGTTCCTACTAATTCTGATGCCTCGAATGGTCGTATTTTCAATAATTAGTTTTAAGGAAGACTTTTCGTTAACACCGTTTTTGTTTATCTTAGCGTATTGCATTCATCAATTCTAATTTAATAATAATAATATTATTATTAAATATGATTAATAAAATAATAATAACAATAATAACGACTATATTAAAAAATATAATTTTTTTCGGTCGCTGTGGAAATTTAATAGTAAATAATAAATAATAATAGTAATAATAATAATAAATAAACACAATAATAAATAATAACAATAATAACAATAACTATAATAAATAATATAACCTGTTTCAGCTGCTGTGGAAATTTAAATAGTAATAATAATGAATAATAATGATAAATAATAATAATAACTATAATAAATATAACAATAATAATAATTATTATTGCTAATGTAGTTATAAAATTTGATGCTATTTTAACTATAGCAAAAATTCTGATGGAAGAACGAATGAATGAATAAAAGAATGAATGAAAAAAAAAGGATAAAAAAGAATAATAATAATAATAATAATAACAATAATATTAACAATATAACCAACAATCATAGTTATTATATACTGTTATAAATTATCATGTAGTCAGGGACGGATCAGAATGGGATTGGGAATGTGGGAATGTTTCCAATGTATCTCACCAACTAGCTGAGGTCTAAATCGGTTTTTTGTTGGAGTCGGATTTTTTGAGAAGCCGAAGTCAAATGATATTTTTCTCTACCTTAAAGACCATGAAAAAAGGAAATAAGGAAAATCCTGTAAAAAATCCCGTCTATTACCCTCCCAAAATCAAATACTAGCAATTATAGTATTAGTTGTAATTATTTATTAAATAACTTTTTTTATTATTATTATCTTTATTTTATTATAAGTATAATAAGAATTATTATTGCTACTTACAACGGCCTTGAAAGGCCAATGAAGCCAAGCCTAAAATTAATTAAAATTGTTATTATTATTTTAACAACAACAATAATAATTATTATAATAATAACGACAATAATAATTATAATATTCTCTGTATTACTACTACCACTAATACACCTACTACTACTTCTAATACTACTACTGCTAATACTACTACCACTACTTCTACTACTATTACTCTATAATTACTACTACTACAACTAATAATAATAATAACATTATTAATAATAATTATTATTATTATTTAAACTAAAAATAAGACTAACAAATTGCCATTAAGATGAATTTGCTAGACAAGCGCGCCATCCTTGCGGTAATAAAAAATGCTTTGATTGTTTCATCATTGAAAATAAGAATTGATACAATTTTTCAATCAATTAAATAATTAAAAAACTAACAAATTATTAAATAAATTAAGTAATTAATAAGTTAATTAATTGATTGATTGAATATTTAATAAATTATACGTTTCAAGCTCTTTCTTTTCACTTCACATCTATTGAAAACGATTCTATTTCGGATTTTAGCATAAATTATGCAAATTTGTTTCTAATTATTATTATCTATTTATTATTATAATATAACTATAATTTTTTTTTAAATAATAAATTTTAAAATCTCGAAATCACCTATAATAACTATTTGGTATATAGAAAAAGAACACGCTCAAAAAATCGGTGATCTTAATTATTTAAAAATTAGTTAATCGAATAATTATTTAATAATAATTATTATTATCGTTATTATGATTCGTTATTATTATTATTACTATTTTTATATATTTTATTATAAAATATTTAAAAAATTTTCGATATTTTTGTTTATTTTAATTGTTTATCAGGGTTGTTTAATGTACGTTGGCAAAAGGGAAATGATATCACCAGGTGCGTTCCAATAATAATAGTAATAATAATAATAATAAATAATAATAATAATAATGAATAATAATAATAATATTAACAAGTTGAAATCAAGGAGGGCTAGGACACTAGAACATTTATTTTGTACGGATTCTTACGCAGATGACAGTCTACTAAACCACTTTAAACTTTGTTATTATATTATTATTATTATTATCATTATTATTATTTAAATGAAGAGCAATGATGACTAACTTTGATAATTATGATTTTATTTTGATTATGACTATTTGTCTATTATTTAATTAATTAATTAATCTAAATCGCACTAAAATTTTCAATTGTGTTTTTGTTGGCTCATTTTCACCCTTTTAACAAAATTTTCAAATAGTAATATTTATACTCATTTACAATTCCGATCTTTTACTTAGGTTGAGTGATAGTAGGTAGTATTAGTAGTAGTAGTAGTTGTAGTAGTAGTAGTTGTAGTAGTAGTAGTAGTAGTAGTAGTAGCAGTAGCAGTAACAGCAGTAGTAGTAGTAGTAATAGCAGCAGTAGTAGTAGCAGAAGTAGTAGTAAAAGTTATC